AAAATAATTTAAGGAGTAATTAACCATAACGATCCAAAATTTTTGTATTGTTATTGTTAATTATCCCTTAAATTATATATAAACGCAATAAAAATGTAATACAACTTACACTAAATAGAAATTGTATATTTTTTAGTCATTGAAATTGAGAATGCATTTTACAAACCCAATTCCGAAAGTTCGCCGATATGTTTACTGCGTTACAGTATTTCGACACTATGGCATTACGGCATTACGGCATTACGGCATTACGGCATTACTGCATTACGGCATTACGGCACTACAGAATTACGGCAAACAATATGGCACATGCCGTTGCCGTATTAATTTGCCAAATTAATTCTACCACCAACTATAGTGACAGTTGGTAGTTGCACGATGTAAGGTGGGAATTGATTCTAGGATGCGAAACAGCCAACGATGAGAATTATTTTATTACCTGAAATTTATTATTTCAGCTTCCGGGTTCTGAAGCTGAATACAAATGATTAGCAGTCTAGCATATAATAATTATATCTTGGATAGTTGTGTATAGATAGAATTTTGCAGTAAAGTATAATCTGCCGCTTACGCGGCAGATTATACTTTACTGCAAAATTCTGCTTATAGTCAACTACTCAGGATATAGCTAATTTATCCTTTGCCATCCACGTAACATAACTTTAATATACTTATTTTAAAATGAATCCATTATTTTACTCACTGTTTTTGACGTTTAAGGTTAAATAGAATAGTACAGTATTTATACTCAATCATCTAAATTAAATAAATATATGTTTAGTAGAATAAGTGCATGAAAAAATTACATTGATAGGTTAAACTAATCGTACTATCTCAAACGATATATATTAATGCGTTTTAACATCAAATTTTCTCACTAGACGATAATATTCGAGCATATAGCATTTACTATACATCATTACGTTATATTTCTAAGTTTTATTCTATTTAATTTGTTTTTAAGTATTAAAATCCTTTATAAATAACTTTAGAATAGTCCGAATTTACACATTATACGTGATCGTGCTGGTCCTGCGCGGCGTCACGCTACCCTAATTATTTAATTCTTTTCTCTTATATAGCTATTTGAATTAATAATAACTACACCTTTCTTTATCATATTAAACATTCAAGTCTAACCATTATCAATTTTTTCCATTCCTGGTTTCAATCGTCGAATTTTTAACGATTAAAAACTATGTATTAATAATATTGATAACTAAGTATTAATGATTTTATTATTAACTAAACATTATGTCCCATCATTAAGTTATGATAAACTACGCATAATTTTGGTTTGCATATTAGCTTATTAATTTAACTGATTCTATTCTATACATATTTTTTTGATAAAATTCTTAAAATTTAAATTACTAAAAATAGAATATTATGCATTTCTCAGGGTATAGAACATGTAAGGTAAAACAAACAGCTCAACCAAAATCTCAAAATAGTTACCAGCATCATTAATCATAATCATATATTTATTTAGTAGTATACGATGTATTGTGTTGTATTCTTTTTAGGTTTAACTTTCAAACATCATTATTAAAATAAAAAATTCATAATAACAAAACTTTTTTTTTGTATTGATAGCTTTTCACCAAATTATTATTACCAAAAATTAAAGCCTCGCAACCAGCACGTATAGTAAATCTTAGTAGTCTTGCCCATAGATTGGTTCCTGAGAGAGGAATTGAATTCGAGAAATTAAATGACCCAATTGCATTTGATTCAATGCCTCGTTATGCTCAATCAAAACTTGCAAATATTTTATTTACTGACGAATTGAATAAACGATATCTTGAAGGCGAACAAGTATATGCTAACTTTTTTCATCCAGGTATAATAAAATAAATTTTAAATTTAATTAAAACAACTATATTAATTAACCATGGATACAAGCATGTTAAGAAGGAACGATTTATCTGTACCAGAACTTCTGTTTCTGCTTCAATTTCACCTGATGATGGCCATATTACTACATTGTATTGTGCTACAAGTCCAGAATCGAAGAGAAAAATTATCTTGTAAATTATTTTGAACCATTTGGCAACGAAAGTGAACGATCAACATTTGCTGAAGATGACGATTTAACTAAAAGGCTTTGGAAATTTACCGAGAATTTGATTTGATAAATGGAAAATTGCCACAATATTGATTGATTTATTTTCTAGCAACGTTTTTCTGTTATAAATACATAGCTAAATCATTAAATAGTTGATATTCAATAATAAATTTTAGCGTAAATTTAACTTTTAAAAATTTTTTTTCCAATTCATGCTGCAAGATTTGCATCATTTTAGATTCTTGTGACTTTCACGTATGACTTGTTATTACAAAACTGAAAACTAAAGGTGTCACGAAATGGTTA